CTTTCTATCTATTGTCTGTCTGTCTCTGTCTATCTATCTGTCTGTCTGTCTGTCTGTCTGTCTATCTAACTGTCTGTCTGTCTATCTATCTGTATATTTGTCTATCTGTATATCTGTCTGTCTATCTGTCTGTATATCTGTCTATCTGTCTGTCTGTATATCTGTCTATCTGTCTGTCTATCTATCTATCTGTTCACCTATCTGTCTGTCTGTCTATCTATCTATCTGTCTGTCTATCTATCTATCTGTCTGTCTGTCTATCTATCTATCTATCTATCTGTCTGTCTGTCTGTCTATCTAGCAAACTATATTTGTCGAGAGTAACACGATACACAGAAAAAAATAGCTGTAGAAACAATTTACTTATTTACTCAAATTTCACAAATAATTTCAAATTGGCAAGTAAAACATTGCATTAAACATGAACATTTTAAAGACTGAAATAGCAAATTGCAAACTGTATTTGTCATGAATTTGAGATTTTCTCAAGAAATAAACGATGTAAATAGTACATTTCTGAAATAATTACAGTAACTATAATAATTACAATACATTAAACACATTATTTAAATAGAAAGACTGAAATAGTGTTGTCAAATGTACTTCAATAATCTTTGTTTACAACTCTGAAAAATCATTTTTTACAGTGTAGATCAGAGCCGAATCCAAACCAAAATCCAATAAGATGAGGTTCTTCACTTTTCTGTATGTTGTGGATTTAAACAAAGCATTTAACATGAATACAGGCTTCACATTTCAGTCCCTCCGGTTTGTTTTGCCCCATAGCCATCCATTATTAGTTCATTACTGTACATGCCTTTCATGTTCGTTTAACTGAGATCAACAAAGAGATTCATCGCGTTACTTCAGTTTAACCTATAAACCCCAGAAGCTTGTCTTGAAGTTCTGAAGGTGGAACGAATGTGTAAAAAATGATTTGCAGCTAATGCATCTAATGTGCAGACGCTTTAATGTCTGGGTTCTCTTTGCTGACTTATGCTGTCATTTAGCGGAAGCTTTAATACAAAGCAACTTACAAACGAGGAACATCACCAGCAGTTTAACACCCAAGAGCAACAGAACCTGTGATACTGAAAAGGCAAGTTTCAAGAATAAACTAGAGCAGTGCAGAAGCAGAAGCATAAATGCAGAAAAGGAGTGAGAAGGGGAAACAAGATAAGCGTATTTTTGAAAAGCATTTATTTCTAGGAAGTATCTTTGAATGTGGTTTAAGCGCAGGAGGAAGAAATGCTTCTTGTTCCTCAGGAATGTGGTTATTTGAGATGCGAGTATTTCAGATGCTCCGCACTGCGCTACTTTCCATTGTTTTTCTACATAAACATGCACTATAAAAACTTAAACCCCAAATATGATGATTTTTGTACTTTTAGGGGATTTTTTCCCCCCACCTTGTGGTGTTTCTGGTCAAAAATGATTTGAATAAACGTCATGCAATATAATTGTTACCAAATGTTGGACTCAAATCTTTTTATCAACTTGCTTTCTTTCAGTTAACACAGGTTTTGTATTTCTTTTTGCAACTTTATAATGCATTAAAAAACAAAACCTACAAATATATAATTCATTTTATCTTTGGTGACAATTGTTTATGAAAAGAAATAATGCATTACTTCGTACATTCTGAATACCTTAATAATGCATTATATATAAAGACTAAGTACTACTGATTGAATCCAAGATTTGGTGATAATATAGCATAGTGAGGGATTTTTCAAGCAATTTTTGAAAGGCTGGGCACTTTTGACCAGAAACACCAAATTAGGTAAGGGTTAAAAAAACAAAACAAAAATGAATGAAAGCAAAAGCGCATTCTGTGTGAGTGCAAAACCCACAGCAGACGATGCAACAATAGATTTCATGTGCAATTATTGCAGGTACATTACTATGTGCCAAATAACAATCTGACATCTCGTATCAGGACGTGTTTTATTCAGGAACCTCAAGCACCATCAACACAAAACAAAAGCAGACAACAAAACCACTGACTACAAAACCTCGCAAATGCATATTATATAATGCACATGAAAAGGTCAAACTAAAGTTGGAGTTTGAGCGTGAGATTTTCCAGCTAAAAACATTTCATCTTGTTAATTTATTTCAAACAATCAGAGTAAACAGCAGGAGTGATTCATCGCGTTTTATGTCGTCTTGTTAGTCAGGATTGACAACATACAATTCTTGAGCATTTAATGCACAATTTATTACAGCGTAAACCCGAGATGCCCAAACCAGGGCCTTTGATTTGGCCATGCCATATCTTAAGAGGAGGGAAAAAACAAGCCATTGAAGCATATCTTCATTTCTAATTTATATTTTAGTTTTAACATGTTTTTTTTTTTTTTGCATTAAAATTTAAAAAACAATATAAGCCAATTTGATAAAAAAATTATTATTTATATATATATAGAGAGAGATACACACACACACACACACATCCATCACTCACACACAAAGACTGTCTTGACTTAATTTGAATTAATTCAACAAATTCATTCAAAACCGTTGATTTAAATAGGATAGAAACACACACACACACACAGACACACACACACACACACACACACAGTGAAATTTAAAAAAACAAAACAATATAAGCCAATTTGGTTAAAAATATTAACAAAATAATTTTATAAAATTGAATATAATTTAATATAATATATTTGGAATTTTCACCCAGTCCTTAATCAAATCTGATTTTTGGTCCTTTGTATTAAAAAGTTTGGGCACCTCTGGTATAAACGCTGCAATTAAAATGAAGAAACATCACAAACGAGGAAAGAGAACAAGATAGCTACAGGCCAACTGCATAAATTCAGTTTTATGAGAGGTTTCAGACCATAAACAAGAGGATTAATATCCAGAGAATATTCTGCTCTCAGCGTTCAGTCTCGTGGCGTAAGAGGATAAATCAGATCTCAGCGTCTGAACACTGTAAATAAGCAGAGAAACACAGAATCCATTTTTTCCATGTTAATGTGGCTTTCACATTAGTACAATCCCAGAGAGAGCGACTGCAGAAAGATCAGCGCTAACACATCACAATCGCAATGATTCAAGTCCATTTATCTAACCTACCGTCTGTCTGCTGGTTACTAACCCATATTCTGGTGAATGCATAGGAGAAAACAAATCAGTAATAACAGTACATCTATCATGCATTTCTTCAAAAAACACTACTTTATCAAATGGGTCATTCTATGAAACGGGTGCTTTCCATTTCAAAAAGCTGATTTTTACAGCAAATTAAACAGAGTGTGTTAATTGCATGGCATTATCTCAAGCTAAATTAGTAAATGGTGGAATGTAACTATGGCACAACAGGATAAGTGGATGAGATTGCTAAAAATATAAATTTTTCAAAAAGAATTCACGATATAATAAAATGAGACACAGGTTTGAGCATGTTAGATTGTATCCTTCTGCGAAAGCTATCAAAATATAAAATATTGATTAAAGAGGAGACATATGCTGGTCCTTGGTAGAGAATAGCACAATATTTTAACCTGGAAACACAAACTCATTGCTGGAGTCATTATTTACATGTTAATGAGGGACACAAAGGCACCTGTTTTGTGGAATGACCCAGATGCACAAAACAGTAAAACTACAGTATAAAATCGCCAAACTGGTTTTAACATTGGGATGATTTTCAAACATACAAGATTTGGTCCATGTCCCACTCTGGTCCTGTAAATGCAGTGAGAAAAAAAACAAAAAAACAAACAAACAAAAAATTTACAGATGCAAAAGATATTTTTTTCACTTTAAGTTTTTGGGGTAAAATCTGACCCAGACATTTCTTTGTGAAATTCACCATTTACAATACAGAACATAAGAATGAACTAACTTTATGAACACGTCACTGAAAAACAAATGTGCACTAGAGAGGGATTCGCTCCCATTTCACTGGAACTGCTCAGGATATTCAATGCATTTCATTCTATCACAAAAATTGAAAAGATGAAAAAATATGGCATGCCGTAAAGTGCTGTAAAAGTGTTTTATACTAACAAGTATTCTGTTGATCTTACATTGAATTATGAGCACATTTCATAGCAGTGAGTGATTTCAGTGCTGGACATCTGTGGATTTATTATTAGTGGTTCTTTCGAAACATACCTGCACTGAGACTCTAGTCCAGACGTCCTTTCATTCATTCTGACATTAATATTCAACTTTGTCAAAGTGGAGTGAATAGAAACAGTGCAAATCACAATGTCACAGCTTGAAGTGAATCTACATGTGTTTGTGTATAAGCAACTGTTTTGATCTCCTTCCCAATTGTGAGTGCACATTATGTCAAGACTGCCAAAATACCTGTTTAAAACCCGTTTTCTTTGCTCCATTCAAGTCATTGAATGTTCTTCCATGAAAGTCTCTCACATACTTCCTACTTCCGTATGCGGGAGCGCTGTCTAGACAGTCTGTTCATGAAGCAGCACGTCACAGTGGCAATAATTAATATGCCCACAAACAGCGCCGACGACACGCCGATCACGAGAGGTAAGAGCAGCAGATCAGTGACTGTGGAGAAAATCAATTAAAACATATGTCAATAATGAGTCTTTCAGTTCAACACCAGATCACGCGAGCATGCTAGGGCTAAATGTATTTTCTGTAGTGAACTCAAGAATTTTTCATGCTAAGAAAGCAAGAGGAAACTACTAGAAGAGAAGTTTTCAAAATGGGGTTCACAAAAAATTTAGGAAAAAAGAATATATGAAATGCATTTTTAGTGCTTTCAAATGTATTGTGCACACATTGAAAAAGGACAAAAAAACGTATAAAAATAAACATTTATTTTGAAATAAAAATATATAAAATAATAGAAAAAGAATATATAAAATGTATGTAGTCCTTTCAAATTGAATGTGCGCACATAAAAACAGCATAAATATGAAGTAAATATTATTTATAGTGAAATAAAAACATAAAACGGAAAAATATTTTATTCTAAAATGTATAACTATATATATTACATATACATATATATATTAAAATATTAAATATATTTTTATTTGAATATAAAAATGTGTATATCTGTGTGTGTGTGTACGTACATAACTAGTAAAAAAAAGAAAACAATTAAGTTAGCAGGTCATTTTTTTTTTTCTTTCCAAAAAAAAAATAATAATAAATTCATAAAAATAAAAGTAAATATTTTCCAGATAGCATTTTAACAATTTGCAAAAATGTGACCCTGGCGCACAAAAGCAGTCTTAAGTCGCTGGGGTATATTTGTAGCAATAGCCAACAATACATTGTATGGGTCAAAATTATAGATTTTTCTTTTATGCCAAAAATCATTAGGATATTAAGTAAAGATCATGTTCCATGAAGTTATTTAGTAAATTTCCTACCGTAAATATATCAAAACTTAATTTTTGATTAGTAATATGCATTCCTAAGAACTTCATTTGAACAACTTTAAAGATGATTTTCTCAATATTTAGATTTTTTTGCACCCTCAGATTCCAGATTTTCAAATAGTTGTATCTATCCTAACAAACCATACATCAATGGAAAGCTTTTTTATGCCTAAAGAATGACACTTAAGACTGGTTTTGTGGTCCAGGGTCACATATAATATAAAACAATTATATTCATTCAAAACAACAATATAAAATAATGCAGACGCCTTTATATTTTAGAAAGTGGGTCGTTATGTTTGAGAGTCCTTGGCATCAAAATGCCAAGTAACTACCGTCACACAGGTTATTCCTGTAGAGAAACAGCTGATCATAGCTCACCTCGTGCGTACAGGTACAGGTGTACGGTCACTGACTCGGCTTTAGTGCCGGTGCTGTACCATCCGCCGCGCGGATCCTGCGCCCAAACCTCGGCTCGACACTGATAGTGTCCCTGATCCTCCTCAGCGGCCGAGAAGATCCTCAGCCTGAAGCAGCCAGCAGACACACGGTCCACGCTCACGTCGCTGCCGTTGCTGTAGATGCGCGTCAGGCCGTCGTAGCTCAGAGTCGCCAGGAGCCGGCCTTTGCTGTCCTCAGAAAGCGTGCCGTCTTTCCTCGCCGGCTCCTCGGGTTTCTGAAGCCACTGCACCTCGACTCGTGAAGCACCGGTGGCTTCCACAAAGACGTTGCAGAGCAGGGTGACGGTGCTGCCATGCTTCAGGAGCGGCCGGCGCGGCAAATCAATGCTAGCAGATACACGCACCTCTGAACGGACACATGAACACAAACAAATGCTACGTTTATAAACTCTCAACACGGCATAAGGGTTAATCTAATCCAGGGGTCTCCAACCTTCAATTTCATTCGGGAGCTACTTTTTAAAAATGAAAGCGGCTGAGAGCTACCAATGTTATACAGCTATCATAGGACAGAACAAGAAAAGCTATAAATAATCTTTCATTGTGCAAAAGTATTTTAATACCAGCTAGAAGAGATCAGATGTGCTAAAACATTAGCCACATTCAAATCTAGACTCAAAACTCATCTGTTTAGCTGTGCATTTAGTGAATGAGCACTGTGCTACGTCCAAACTGATGGCACTGTATTTTATGTATAATCATTTTCTACTCTTAACTGTTTTAATAAATTTTAAATCAATTTTTAAGTCATTTAAGCCTTGTTTTTATTGTTGTGATTATTTTTAATGATTATTTTACTTCCTTCTATGTAAAGAGATGCATAGAGACGTTCAAAGCACAAAGGAAAGAGATATTGATGCGTAGTTTATTAGATCTGTGCGATAGTTTATTGAGCCTTTTCTTTTAACAGTTTCAAATCTCAGTTACTGTGCGCTCTTGGAGAGAGTTTCATCGTCTTGACTGTCGTAACCGAACGCGACGCGCAGTTTGAATGCTGAACGGAGGATGACAGACAGCCGCAGCGGAGAGAAGAGTTTACGTGAACTTGAATTCAACAACTTGAATATTCATCTGTACCTCACATTAAACTATGGAACGGCTTCAGAACACTTGGACTTTGACTTTATGGTGCTTTGTAATGTTTTTGTGCTTTCGTGGGGCTTAACAATAACACAGAATAGTATACGCACAATATCGGATTTGGATCAGTCTCATCTGAGTATCAGAGCCGATACCGATACTGAATATCGGATCGATGCATCCCTACTTATGATTTGAAAAAAAAGCACTGGGTGGATTTTTATCATTATAGGGTGGTTGTGTACACACACTGCCAACACACATTTATGTTCAAACACCATGTAAAAGTGAATTTTGCATCTTATCTCCCCATTAATATATCGGCCAGCACTAACTGTGACACTATTTTTTTGATTAGAAATGCACTCATAAACTTAAAACGTGCATTAACACTTCCTCACGCACCTTCAGTCTTCAGGCTAACAGTGACCCACTCTGATCTCTGTGTGATCGTGGCGGGACTCTCCGGTGCTGGTGTTTTCCTCCCGGCGTAGACGCTCACAGCGCAGCGGTAGAGTCCGGCGTCAGCGGGGCGAACGGAGAACAGGCGCAGAGAGAAGCTCCCGTCGGCCTCCTTCTCCATGCTGCCTCCTCCTGCCCTGCTGAGATCATCACCCCAGGCCACCACGCCGTCAGGATCCACACGCGCCACCTCCACCTCCACACCGCCCTCCAGCCCGCGCCGCATCCACTGCACCTGCAGCGCCGAGCGCTTCCACGCACCTACACCCAACACCTGACAGCGGAGGCGGAGCGGAGCGCCGGGCCGCAGAGAGACACCACCGTCCGGGACAGAGCGCACACTCAGTGTGTCCACTGGGGAGAGACCGCAATAATATTTTATGTATAATCATTTTCTACTCTTAACTGTTTTAATAAATTTTAAATCAATTTTTAAGTCATTTAAGCCTTGTTTTTATTGTTGTGATTATTTTTAATGATTATTTTACTTCCTTCTATGTAAAGAGATGCATAGAGACGTTCAAAGCACAAAGGAAAGAGATATTGATGCGTAGTTTATTAGATCTGTGCGATAGTTTATTGAGCCTTTTCTTTTAACAGTTTCAAATCTCAGTTACTGTGCGCTCTTGGAGAGAGTTTCATCGTCTTGACTGTCGTAACCGAACGCGACGCGCAGTTTGAATGCTGAACGGAGGATGACAGACAGCCGCAGCGGAGAGAAGAGTTTACGTGAACTTGAATTCAACAACTTGAATATTCATCTGTACCTCACATTAAACTATGGAACGGCTTCAGAACACTTGGACTTTGACTTTATGGTGCTTTGTAATGTTTTTGTGCTTTCGTGGGGCTTAACAATAACACAGAATAGTATACGCACAATATCGGATTTGGATCAGTCTCGTCTGAGTATCAGAGCCGATACCGATACTGAATATCGGATCGATGCATCCCTACTTATGATTTGAAAAAAAAGCACTGGGTGGATTTTTATCATTATAGGGTGGTTGTGTACACACACTGCCAACACACATTTATGTTCAAACACCATGTAAAAGTGAATTTTGCATCTTATCTCCCCATTAATATATCGGCCAGCACTAACTGTGACACTATTTTTTTGATTAGAAATGCACTCATAAACTTAAAACGTGCATTAACACTTCCTCACGCACCTTCAGTCTTCAGGCTAACAGTGACCCACTCTGATCTCTGTGTGATCGTGGCGGGACTCTCCGGTGCTGGTGTTTTCCTCCCGGCGTAGACGCTCACAGCGCAGCGGTAGAGTCCGGCGTCAGCGGGGCGAACGGAGAACAGGCGCAGAGAGAAGCTCCCGTCGGCCTCCTTCTCCATGCTGCCTCCTCCTGCCCTGCTGAGATCATCACCCCAGGCCACCACGCCGTCAGGATCCACACGCGCCACCTCCACCTCCACACCGCCCTCCAGCCCGCGCCGCATCCACTGCACCTGCAGCGCCGAGCGCTTCCACGCACCTACACCCAACACCTGACAGCGGAGGCGGAGCGGAGCGCCGGGCCGCAGAGAGACACCACCGTCCGGGACAGAGCGCACACTCAGTGTGTCCACTGGGGAGAGACCGCAATAACAGACTGGTTATTATATTCATAATGACTAGAGCAGCACTCTAACACTGTCTGAGCTTTAAATAGAGACTAACCCACACCTCTTATTGCTATTGCTCAGGTCAATAGGTCAATAAACATTGATGCTGCACCATCATTTAGTTTGAGTACAAGCACACGAAACATGTGATTTATACAGAGATAAAAATTTCAGGTTTTTAGAGCCGCACAATTAGGCAAATTTTGTAATTATATACCAATATGCCAATAAAATAATAAAAATAATAATAATCATAATAATTTATTTTACAGTAAAATATTATAATATTATATTGCAAATAGGTGGAAAATTTCCAGCAAATTTCAGAAACATTCCAGAAATTTCGCAAAACTTTCGCAGCCTTTTTTTGCAAACTTTCAGAACTTTTTGGGAAGTTTCTAGAAATGTACCGGATATTTTGCGCCCCTTTGCAATCCTAATTATTAATAAATATATTTAATATTAATAATACATTTTTATTAGTATTTTATTTTACAGTGAAATCGTATAATAGAAATACTCCTTTTGTTTTTATTTAGTACTTGTTTATATTTATTAATATATCACTATAACATATATAAATAATATTATTAATTATATCATTATTAATAAATATATTTGTATATTAATAAATAATATAATTTTTTATAAATATACAAATATAAAAAAAAATATATATATATACATATCACTAAAACTAATCGAATAGTACTATTTCACTAAAATAAAAAATAATCAAGTATTAATAATAAAAATGTTTAACTTTGCAACTGTAAAATTACAAAGCTAATATTTATGGCTGTCTTAATTTCTTCAGATAATCAAGTTGCTCTGAGATAATGAGCTTCACTCCGAAACACGCAGGGCACATACTTATTTCATTTGATAATTGCACTAAGCCACATCGTGATTATTATTTGGAGACAAAAGCACTTGGTAAAACATTATCAAACTGAACGAACTTCAGCCTGCATTTACACTGCAATGCCTAATGCACAAATGCAACAAAAATTTATAATATAATAATAGTTTAATTAATACAAAAAATAAAAAAAATAAATAAAGAGAAAAAAAAATGTCTTAATGTACTGTGATTAATCAACTGGGGAATTATGGTGATATTTATTATTAATTAAAATTTTTTGCTGTCTTGCCTTAAGTATTTAAAAATATATAAATAGGCATTTATAAGCAGTTATTTAAAAAGTGTGGCCTTTTCTGCACCGAGTCATATTTTGTTTGCATCATAATGATAATTAAAATGCAAGATGTATGTTCTGAAGTTATTTTACATAAACGAATTAGTGCTGAACGATTAATTGCATTTGCAATAATATCGCGATATGAAAAAACTCGATTTTTCAATCGCAGAGGCTGCGATTACACTCAGTCACGTGACACGCGAGAGTAAAGAAGTGTGTTCGACTTGAAGAAAGCGACCGTTGAAAATCATTTTATCTTTGTGTCAGTACGTCATTAATAGAACAAGGCATCAGTTTAATGTCGGGTTTTGTAGTGTCGCGTTGCGCGCTCCGCGCCGCATCCAGTGTACACAGCATCACTGATTATAATGGGTTCTACTGTATTTTGCCGCTCGCGTCCGGTGTAGACACAGTGTTTAATGTTGTTGGTGAGGAGGAAAGCCTGTGTGTGTCCTATGCCTTAGCGGACAGCATGAAACCCACAAAAAATAAATAAATAACAGAGAGAATAATAATAATAACAGTTATTCTCTCTATGCTGTTTTTCAATGTTTCAAGTGATGCAGGTGGTTTTTTTCCCTGTAGATTTTTTTTATTAAAAAAGCATTCATTTTTCATAATGATTGTTTTATAGGTTTAAAGGGGGGGCGTGACCAAAAAACTTTGAGAACCACTGGTCTAAAGTTAACAGACACTGTTTAAAAAGTGCAGTCCACATGTTTACATATGCTTATTACAGTGACTTTGAATTACCTAAAGTAGTGTGGTAAAGCAACAGATTTGTTTTTATATTTCTGCAACCTACTTTAGTTTGTGTGATTTGTTACTGACTTTCACATTAATGTTTACACCAGGCTTATTTGTGCTTATTTGTCGCACTGGTGCTCCTAAAAACATTTTCATAGTCGCACGCAGTAGTTTTCAGTCGCAAATGCGACTGAAATGGTCGCACTGTAGAGCCCTGAATTTCATCGTAACATTTAGGCCTGGCCTACAGAAAAGAACATTTATGTTTAATTTATCTAATATTGTGTTGGTCATAATATACAATGATTTATAGCTTGTCTTTGTTGAATAATACAGAACATAAAGAGCTTTAAATCTTAATCGCAATATGTCTAATACATCGCAATATGTCTAATTAATTAAAATCATGAAACTTAAACAATTTAACATCAATTTATCAAAAGTTTAACAAAAATTACATGTTTAGGGCCCTATTAAATGTTTTATTTTTTCCAACATTGTTTTATTGTTACCAAATTCTGTGTTTTAACATGTCTAATTGTTTGAAAGCATAAAAACATGTTTCATTTATTCTTACAATAGCCTACTGATTGTTTTCCTCAGAAATTCTGTGTTGTGTATTTAAATTTTTTAAAGGCATAAATTTATCTTTTAATTAATGAAAATTAAACAAATTTTATTTTTGGAAAATAAAGGGGATTTAATATTACAATTAAAACATTGAAGAAATATTGTATGATTATTCCTTAAAAATAAGGTTTTAATAATTTTAGTAGTAGTAGTAGCCTATTTCGTACATTCTACTGAACAACAGTAATATATTTCTGCCGCAATGTCTTCAAGTTAAACCGAACTTTTATTTTGAAGGGCTGCCGTGAATACCTTTAAATTCCTGTGTTTATATGATATGAGGATCGTTTTACTCAAATGAAACGGTAAAATGCTCATGAAGTGACTCTCAGAGCAGTTCTGGAGATGTTGTTCATGTATTTATGTCCTCATT